TAGAACTCACCATATAGACCAGGCTGGCCTCAATCTCACACAGATCCACCTGCCTCTGCCTCCCAAGTGCTGGGATTAAACACATATGCAACCACCTCAAGTTGTATGTATGTGTGGGGGGGGCGGTGTATGAGTGTTTTGCCTGCATGTATATAGTACACCCATGGTCTGTAATGCTTGGGGAGGCCAGAAGAGGGTTTCAGATCCCCTGAAACTGGAGTTATGGACAGTTGTTAGCTGCCATGTGGGTGCTAGGAACCAAACCTGGGTCTACTGCAAAAGCAGCCAGTGCTCTTAACTGCTGAGCCATCTCTCCAGCCCTGTTACAGATGTCTTAATATCTGTAACTCCAGTTCCAGGGGATCGGACACTCTCTTTTGACCTCCGTGGACATTGCACAACAGGGGTGCACTTACATACATACATACAGGCAATACATTCATACACGTAATAAAATAAAATGGATGGGAGGCAGAAAAAAGGTAGATCTCTGTGAGTTCAAGGCTAGTCTGGACTAATATCAAGTTCCTGGCCAGTGGGGTTAGAAAGATGGCTCAGAGGTTAAGGGCATTGGCTGTTCTTGCAGAAGACCTGGATTCAAATTCCAGCACCCACATGGTGGTTAATAACCATCCATAACTCCAGTTCCAGGGGATCTGATGCCCTCTTCTGACCTCCATGGGCATTGCATAACATGGGTGCACTTACACACATGCAGACAATACACCCATACTCAGAAAACAAATAAAATATTTTTTTAAAGAAGATTAAAAAACTGAGCTGGACTTGGTGATTCATGTCTTTAATCCTAGCACTCAGGAGGCAGAGGCAGGTGGATCTCTGAGTACGTAGGAAATTCCAGGCCAGCTGGGGCTACATAGGAAAACCATGCTGGAAAATTTATTAAATACACCAGAGTCAGGAAAGGGTACAGTTCCTTCACCTGGACTCAATGACCTGTCAACTAACCATGCAACACAAGTGAGTGTGTCACAAGACCCCCAGACAGAGAACTATCCACTGTCCCTGGGGCATCACCTCAGCTCCATCCTTGCTGTTGTCACAGCCTAGTCCAAATGAAGTCTGCCTGCTCATTTGTGTGGACCTGTTGTTCACCTGCGTCTGTTCCTATGTCTGGATCTTGTCCTTTCTTTCACTTCTATAGCCTCTACTCATCCTGGCTCCGACAGCACAATTCTTACCCTGAAACTTGACTCTGGAGGCAGCGGCAGTAGCAGCAGCAGCACCTCTAAGTAGACCTCTAGCCAATTCATTGTCTCATTCCCACAGAGTATTCTTTTTGCATCTCTTTTCAGCCCTTCTGCCTCTCATGCCTTTTTGAAACTCTTGAACTGTGCTGTGGCCTTCTTAATCCTTTGTAGACATTCTTTAGATATATAATGAACTCATACCACAGGACATCTGGGTACACATATTTGACTGGATAAGCCTTGACATATATGACAGAATGTATGAAATCTGGTGGGGGGACACTATAGGGGTGCCCACAGGGGAGGGGTCTAAATATGATTCAGATATATTATATGAAATCCACAAAAACTCAATAAAAATATATATTGAAAAATATTAGCAATCAAAATTGGAATAAAGGAGTCTGTGTATACCTCTGCTAGGTCTATCAAGGCAATGAGACTAGTTGACAAGTCACTGCCAGAAAAACTGCTGTATCTTGTGAATTAATTGTTATTCAATAAATTCTGACATTTTGGGAAAAAAAGGTAAGGAAACTGAAGCACAGAGAAGTTTAGTAACTTACCAAGGTCACATAACTAGTATGTGCAAAGCCAGGTTTAGAATTCAGGAGACCTACCTCCCATGCCTTAAGCTCTCCTTTGCTTTATGGCAGCTAATGGTAAAGGTGATAACAGTGGTCATCAGTAGGAATGGTTACAGTACAGTAACATGACAAGTGTTAAATATAGGAAAGAAGCCAGGCATAATCCCAGCACGTGGCAGGCAGAGGCAGGCAGATCTCTGTGAGTTACAGGCCAGCCTGGTCTACATAGTGAGTTCCAGGCCAGCTGGGGCTACAGGGAGACCCTGCCTCAAAAAACAAAAAAAACCCCCCAAAACATAGGAAAATAAGAGGACTTCACAACAAAGACAGCATTTGTGCTGGGATTTATAAAACGTGGAATTTCATCAGGCAGGTAGGATACATGTGTGAATGGTAATGACTGACAGTTTTTCTGTATGCCTTTCAGGGTGAATGTGGCTCCTGTTGGGCTTTTAGCTCTGTGGGTGCCCTCGAGGGCCAGCTCAAGAAGAAAACGGGCAAACTCTTAAATCTGAGCCCCCAGAACCTTGTGGATTGTGTGTCTGAGAATGATGGCTGCGGAGGTGGCTATATGACCAATGCCTTCCAATATGTGCAAAAGAACCGGGGAATTGACTCTGAAGATGCTTACCCATATGTGGGGCAGGTAAGGCTGTTGCAACAGCACTGTGCTGGCTCTTTTTATTCTCTCCTCTCCTCTCCTCTCCTCTCCTCTCCTCTCCTCTTCTCTCTTTCTCTCTCTCTCTCTCTCTTTCTCTCTCTCCTCTTCTCTTCTGCTTGGTTCTGGGTTCAACAACTAAAGAATGACTTTTTGCCTCCTAGG